TTCAAATTTAACAGATTTTAAGCTTCAAAATGAGCCTAAACACGACTAGGCTCCGTCCAATTTGAAATTTTCAGCGCGCACGCGACGCACGACCGCGACGCGCCCAAAAACTCAGAGTGGGCGGAGCCTAGTCGTGTTTGGGCTCATTTTGAAGCGCACAACACTCCAAATTTAAATTCATAATTTTCAATTTTTGAGAATCAATTCAAAATCTAAAAAATTAGAAAAAATATGAACAATGAAACTTACGTATTCTTATGAGCCATCTTCTCTCGCTCAAAATCGTTCTTCAAAATTTCAAACTTTTTTTTGAATGAGATTTCCATCGACGCCAATTCCTTCTCAGAAATCACCATATTGAAGTCGGCACTGAAAAATCACAAAATTTGCATTTTTTGGGTTTTCTAGATCATCAAAAAGATTTCTAGGCCACCAAACTCCAAACTCACCCTTCTCCAGACTTCTGACGAAGCTCCGCCCACAAATCCATAAAATTATTGAGATTCTCATTTTGGATATGGTTCAATTGAGACGAGATGACTAGGAGAACTTGTTCAAGTGTCGGAAATTGCTCTTTGAGCAAGTTTTGGAACTTCGTTTCCATGTCGATTCTGCAAAATTTTGGTTTGAGAGTGCTCCGAATGAATTCGTCTTGTTGCGAGCTTCAAAATGAGCCTAAACACGACTAGTTTCCGCCCACTTTGTCTTTTTGGGCGCGTCGCGGTCGTGCGTCGCGTGCAGATGGGGAATCTTAAAGTGGGCGGAGCCTAGTCGTGTTTGGGCTCATTTTGAAGCGCAGAACTTTTTAAATTTGAACCATCGAGCTGTTTGCGAAGAGAGCTTATTTTGAAGCTCTAGTCAAGCCAAATCCAATGAAAGCACTCACTTTAGTGATTTTGGACCATTATTCACGTCATCATCCGATTCCAAGCCTTTCAAATCGACGGATTTGAGATCTTTTTTTTTCAAAATCTCATCAAGTCTCAACTTTTTAGACATTTTTTAACCCTGAAAAAAAGCGATAAAACTTGGAAATTAGGCGGGAAACCGCATTTTTCAAAGGATTGCTCAGCTTAAAAATTTTAAGAGAAATTCTAAAATGTTTGCTATACGAAATATAATATAAAAATACTAATATGCATATAATTCTAGGGGAAAGGGGAAACATGTGATTCCTAATCTCACTAAAAGTCTTTGGTGTATTGCTCAGAGATGAGAGAGTGTGAAAACTGAGAGACGCAGAGAAAAAATGAACGAGAGGTGGATGTGGGGATTAGGAAGATGACGTAGGGGATAAAAAAATGGCCTATAAAGGGACATGGGACTCAAAAAACTGATTTAGAAGATTCGAAATTGAATTTGTCAAGTTTTGAGCTTCAAGATGAGCCCAAACACGACTAGGCTCCGCCCACTCTGAAAAGTAGGCTCCGCCCCCTTTTAAAGGCGCAGCTTTCCTCAAAGTGGTCGGAGCTTAGTCGTGTTTGGATTCATTTTTCTGCATTTTTCAAGCCAAATTCATATTTCGCGTAATCTGTGCTTCAAAATAAGCCCCAATACCATTAGGATCCATCCATTTCACCGGCACGCGACGCACCACCGCGACGCATCTAAAAAATCAAAGTGGTCGGAGCCTAGTCGTGTTTGGGCTCATTTTAAAGCATTTTTTATTTTGAATTTAATAAAAATAATGAGAAATGTCAGAAATAATAAAAAGGAGCTCAAAAATGTTGAGTTTGAAGGGAATTACAGGCTAAAATTGAGTTTGGGTCAGTTTTTGCCTCATAACTTTCTTCAAAATCAATATTTTTCAACAAATCAAAATGGAAAATGTAGGATTTGAAATTGTCTACAAAACTGTATAAAGTTCATCTATTTTTAGTAAGAGATCAATCATTAAAAAAATGCCGAAAATAAGTACTAGGATAAGGGTAGGTTAAGTAGGTTAGTCGGGAAGTGGTTAGATGGAGGTAGATGGACCCGGACCCAGGTCATTTTTTGACCTTCAAGGAAAAAAGATGAGATTAGATAAAATCAATAACGCTGGAAAAGGGGACCTTTTTGCTAGCAAAATGGTCCTCGTTATACATAGAAAAGAGGTCGATGAGCGACTAGCCCTCTTTATATGGTCTGCGTCTCTTTCTCTTTCCACACTCTCTCTCACCTAGCAAAACACACGGACCACCGAAATGGTCCGTTATTTGCCCTTGGTACCGTTTCGTCTCCATAGAGAGATCAGAAACGTAGAGTTGGCAATGTGCCAAGAGGACAGTAAACTTTAAAGGCGCATATCTCGAAAAGTACGGTAGCTAGAAAAACTTTCTAGGTACAGAATTATAGGAAATTTGATTTTGCATATTTTAATAATTAACAGCTTTTTGATATATACAGTAGTTTTAGAGATATGCGGCTTTCAAAATTGCACACACCCCCAGAAGGCCTGTGCTCAAAGAGTGAGGAAGGAGAGAGTAAACTTTAAAGGCGCATACCTCAGAAACTACGGTAGCTAGAAAAAAGTTGTAAACTAAAAAAATGTTGGAAATTTTATTTCGCACATTTTACCAGTTGACAACTTTCTACTAGCTTTTTTAGTTTCTGAGATATGCGCCTTTAAAGATAAGAAGTCAAAATTTTGAATTTTCTTACTGAAATGGCTCCTTTTGGACCAAATTTTCTCGTATTTTTTTGCTAAAATTCGTACCTTATCTCTATAAAAACCCAGCGGATTTTTGTCAATCTGCTCCAATGGTCTAATATTCAATGGTTCCCGTTTCGGACGCCATTTTCCAATCGATGAACTCATTGAGGTGACCATTCGATGTCCGTCAGTTGGCAGCGGGCATTCATCAAGTAGAGCGCTCTTACTTTAAAGACGCATATCTCAAAAACGACAATAGCTAGAAAACAGGTGTAAATTACAAACATGTGCAAAATTTTATGCTGAGCAATTTTGCAGTTGACCGTTTTTTCAAAAATACTGTAGTTTTAGAGTTACGCGCCTTTAAAAATTTTCTACACTTTTTCAGAAGGTCGGCAGTGGGCACCGCGCAGCCCATGGGCTCCATATCTTCAAAAGCGCATATCTCAAAAACTACAGTACCTAGCGAAAAATGGTAAACTACAAAAATGTGAAAAATTTTACGCTGAGCAATTTGGTAGTTGACAAACTTTTGATAAATAACCTAGTTTTTGAGATATGCGGCTTTAAAGATTTATCGCTCTTTTCAGCGTGCGGCCTCCGTTCTCAGGGGCACCCTAACTTTGAAGGCGTATATCTCAAAACCTACAGTAGTTACTAAGAAGTTGTAAACTACGAAAATGTTTGAAATTCTATTTTACTCATTTTTGTAGTTTACCACTTTTTTCTAGCTACTGTAGTTTTGGAGGTTTGCGCCTTTAAAGACAACATGGCTATTTGATTTTTCTCTGCGTCCTTTCACTCTCTAACCGAGGTCGGAAGTATTTGGATGGTCCATCGTTTTGTGTGTTCCTTACACACAAAACGGGCCATTCGGCCTCTTCCCCCTCCCTTGGCTGACCTTTAGCCTATCTAATCTCTCTTCCTTGTTTCTCTGCGTCTCTCTTATTGGTACTCTCTCACTTGAGACGCCCCACCCAACGTTGTACACCAGTAGCCCCCATTTTCTTTGTGTCATTATGAATGCAATGTCCCATATTGATTTTCTGTGTTTTTTCGATTTTTCCCCAAAACTGTTTTTTCAGCAAAATGTCAGGAAATTCGGATTCTGATTCCAAAATTCTGGAAAACTCTGAAAATGTCAAAAGCCTTCCACTCTACTTGCCACCACAAGAAACTTTTGCCGAAAAACCTGAATCCAAAGATTCCGGAGATTGTGATTCTGGAAGTTCAGAATCTTCTGTTTCTGAATTTTCCGTTCTCGACCAATCCGACGTCTTCATTGAATCCATCGATTCTGAGTATTCGGAGGAACCAGAAGAGGAAGAAGAGCCAAAATTCCAACGGTACGTTTACTATATTCTATTACAAGGAGTATTTTCGAATTCTCCTCATTTTTAGCTTCAAAATGAGCCCAAACACGACTAGGCGCTGTTCCATTAGGAAGTTTGGGGCCTCTAAATGTGGGCGGAGCTAAAATTCTGGATTACTATTTATTTTTCAGTCAGCAAACTGCGTCAATCGACGCGGAAAATATAGGTCTTGTAATAGGAAACAAAGAGCAAGCACAAAAATGGTACATTGAATCCCAGGAGCACCATAAAACGTAAGTTTTAGAAATTTTGAGTTTTTCTTCCAGAAAACCTGATGTATTCTTTAATATTTCTAATTCTCATTGGATTTGTCACAAAAAGAGCTTTAAAATGAGCCCAAACACGACTTGGCTCCACCCATTTTGAGTTGTCTGGTGCGTCGCGGTCATGCGTCGCGTCGCGTGAACTCGGAATGAGCGGAGCCTAGCCGTGTTCGGGTTCATTTTGGAGC